AGGGATTGCAATTAATTTTATGCATTCTGCGCAGCAGAACAAATAACAGCACCAAACAATAATTAATTCTAAAATCATTAAGTGGTGTTGTTTATTTTATTGATGGGCCACCTGAAATATATTTAAACTTGTTAGGATTCTCTTGCTTGTTAACAGAAATATGCTAGATGAACTGCAACATTTATAAAGTATGTTGCTTTACTTTTCAGAAAAGTAGACTGACGCTTTCTTATTCGAGTTTGGAACAAAAGGAATCAAAATGGTGCTCCAAGTTTTTGATACATTAAAAATGTGTATCTATAGATATATATTAAAAACTAACAATAAATGGGAGTGTCTTTATAGACTGATTGGTCTTTCTCTTGAATGTGTGTTTGACTGAGAATAAATGCATAGAAAAATTCTTGAACCTATTTTAGACTATTTGAACACTGAAGGTGTTGCATTAGATGGCAAGTGTTAAGTTAGGATTCTGTGACAACATGTCAAAACCACTTTTTTTAATTTATGTCACTTCTCTGCCTACATTGCACTTGTGCATTCATGTGACCTGGCTTTAATTTAACATTTGGTAAATATTTGCATAGTAATTCCTAAAGTGTTCTCCCACACATAAAGGAAATGATGATAAACAGCTTTTAAGTGGCTTGATGTTAAACACAAACATGACTTGCAGCCCTAAGGTAAAATGCACATTAGAGTAACTGTTCAATATTCATTTGGGAAGTGCTGGTATGTGTTATACCAGGTAACTTACTCATACTTTTTCTTTAGATGTTTCTGCTGTATACTTCAGCTAAACTTCTGCGTAAGGGGGTTATGCCATGTAGTAAGAGAACTTCTCCCCACTCGTGCTGTTAGGATTTTTCGGAACCGTTTTGAAAGAAAACCTGTAGATGTGTTTTCTCCTAAATGACCCTGCCAACAGGAGAGCATTTAGGAGTACAGATAGATGGCAACCATACTTCACTGCTGTCCAGAGCTTCTAGGCTGCCATTAGTGTTTTATTTTTACAAGAGAATCATTCTTTTGTTTTTCAAAACTAATTCTTTCTTCTTGGGCATGTGAACTTCCAGTGATGATGGTTGAGGAGAATTTGGGAGGAATCATTCTAGACACTGTCACTCATTAGAAGAGGTCTTTAATCTCAAACTAGAAAACTAGAACCTCGCAGTTAAAAAAAAAAAAAAAAAGTTGTCCTAGCATTTTAGAATACAGTTCCTACACTTTTTTGCTTTATATTTAGTAGTTTTCTCAGCAAGTGCCATCTCAGTATATCCTTAATCAATCCATTCCCTGAGCAAAAATGGGATAAGTGTAATCTTATCCTATATTGTTTATAAACTTAAAAATCCAACTTTTTCTGCTTTCAACAGGTAAGAAGTGTGATTTTCATTGAAGCAAACATGCAAGCTGGGATCAATCCTTCCTATGTGTAACATTGCAACAGCCTATCACCTCTGTTACTAGTGTTACTGGGTTCTGACTTTCCTTTCAGACCTTTCAGAAAATACTGTAGAAGAGAATACTGTTTTGCAAGAACTCCAGTGACTTACTTTATAAAGTTACTCTGTTACTTTGGAAATGTAGTCTCCTGCCTCACGGTTTTAGAATATATGGAAACCTGAAGTGTTGATGTTCTTTGTGATTGTAGTATCTTACTAAAACGTAAGAAACTTAAAAGTAAGACCATACCTTTCTAAGGAAAGTTTCAATTTCTCTGATGATGATTCTATCTTGGATGTACCACAGTTATTTTTCAGATCTATTCTACTCCTTCTCAGCTCTCAGTAATGTGTAAAACACAAGTGTGTGTGCACATATGCATACGCATTCATTTTTCCTCCTGTTACTGTCTATCCCCTACTTGTCATGTGGATGAAATGCTATTTGGGACTTACGGTATTCAACTTTCACATCTGCTGGTAGTTAATGGCTTGTTTTATACGGGGAGTTAGCTGAAATATTGGTGTTTTATTTATTGAAGCTGGTTGGACTCTTGGTGGGAGTAAAGAAGCACAAAAGAAATTGCTACATAGATTCTTAGGTTTTTTTAATATAGACACTTTGTATCCTGTGCATGGCCGTGTTTGGAGTTCATCCAAAGAACAGAAAATGTTCTCTGACTTCAAAATCTCTTTGGAATGGGTGAGTGATTTTGTTGGTGGTGTTGTAACTGTTGTTACTTCTGTGACTGTGCAGAGGGAATTTCCTCCACCTAGGCTATCTAGCAGTAGTTACTATTTGCTTCATCAAACAAGTCTGTCAAAAGCATCTCTCTCTCTGTGCTTAGTAGCTGGGTTTTTTTAACTTTCAGGGATAAAGTTCTGATTAAGTTAATAGAAGCTAGTTTCACATTTGTATTTCTGAAAAAGTGTTCAGTCGTCTTGTAGTCTCTGGTGGTTGCTGTAATTGGGGAGTCCTTGAGATCAAAAGGTCATAGTGGTTTCACACTGTGTGTACCTGAGTCATAGTGTGTGTGGGAGCAATACCTAAACTATTAAGAAGTATTTTTCTGCTAAGAAAACTGTGTGAATCCCATTCTGTTTTAGTTCTTGTATTTCAGTGTGAATTGTCATTCCTTTCTTTTAAAGAATCTAATATTGGCCACACTTGCTCCAAAAGATTGGTGAGGAATGGCATCTTCTGTTCTTCCAGACTGATTTAGAGACTACTTTCTTTTGATAACGCCACTAACAAAACCATTAAACTACTGTATTTGTTGTGGCCCGAAGTAAAGGGAAGGTTGGGAATTTGTTAAGCTTAATGTAGTTTAGGGTGGCTGTGTGTCTTGAGCTTGTTTCCTGCCAATTTGCTGCATTCTGTTGGGACAATCGAGCTTTTACACTCCTTTTTCCTTTGTTTCTTCTTCAGTGACACATCTGGGTTGGTGCAGCTACTGAATCACAAATAGAAGCAAACATTGAAAGCAAAATATTCCAATCAGCTGCTTATTTTTTTCACATCAGCTTTATTCTGTCTACTTAAAAAGCATAATACATATAACAGGTTTTAATATATCTTCAGACAAAAATGTTAGCCGCAGAAGTTTGTCTAATTAAGAGGAGTGGTTTTCAAGTATGCTGTTTTAGTGTTATTAGCTATGGAAACCTTCTGTGATTGCATTAGTTAAAAGGTTCAGGAGGAACATCTGTAGCTACTGATGCATTCCAGTTTGAGAGAATCATGTTTTGTAAGTTTATTGGTAGGGTCAAGTGATACTCTTTCACACGGTTTCTGCATTAGGTAAATTGATGTAAGTTAACACGCTTGCTTGTAGCACAGAGGTACTTTTCCTCTCTGCCTTTTCATCTTAGAATTCTGTGGTTATGGTAAAAATACTTAAACCATGGGCTATATAATAGAGCTTTGAGCTGTAATAGTTGTCTACACTTCATCACTTTGCAGAGACAAAAGCATGTTAATTGATTTTCTTAAACTTTGTAATTTTGAACACCTGCTACCTAGAATGAAGAAACATTTGCTGTTTCACAAATGGGTGGTTTTAGTGTGAAACGAAATAACTGTAGTTAGAGGTAAATTACAGATTAAATAGACATGTTACAAATAGAGATACTTTTATGTGCCTAATTGGGTGGTTGTCATTCAGCCATACCGTACCTTAGACAGACTTAACCCTAAAACAAGTGCAAGGTGGTAAAAAGGCTGTGGGTTAACCTAAGGCAGCTAACTCCCACACGGCTGCTTGCTCACTCCTTGCCCGGTGGGCTGGGGAGGAGAATCGTAAGGGTACAAGTGAGAAAACTCATGGGCTGAGATAAAGACAGTTTAATAGGTAAAACAAAAGCTACACACACAACTCTGCCCCCCCACCTTCCTCCTCCTTTCCCCCAACTTTTATTGCTAAGCACAGTGTCATATGGTGTGGAATATCCCTTTGGTCAGTTGGGGGTCAGCTGTCCCAGCTGTGTCCCCTCCCAGCTTCTTGTGCACCCCCAGCCTACTCGCTGGTGCGGCAGTGTGGGATATGGGGAAGGCTTTGCTGTGTACGCACTGTTCAGTAATAGCCAAAACATCCCTGTTACCAACGCTGTTATGGTCACAGATCCAAAACATAGCACCATGCAAGCTGCCATGAAGAAAACTAACTCTATCCCAGCCCAAACCATTATGTGTCAGTGGAAGAATTGAAACTGAACTGTGGAAGCTAGATGGGTCAGAATAGGAAAAACATTTTGTTTGGAGTTCACCAGCAAAGTTGATAGTGGCATAATGGGCTGACCTGTTGGTGATGCTAGGGTTGTTGTGGTGTGAGGTTTTTTGGTTTGTTTTTTGACTGCTGCCTCTTGGTGATACAATAAAGAAGAGGCCTAATCCAATTGATCCACATCTGTACCTATGATGGAATTATTCTGATTTATCTGCTGTCTACATCACTTGATGGCCAAAGTTATAGAATGCCCATAAATAAATATGGAGTGGAATATCCCTACTTCTCAGGGACTTCATTATGTGGGGAATATCTGAACTAGAGATAAGGAACTTGCTAGTCTATATAGCGTGTCTGTTGTGCTTCACTTGCTTCTGAGAACTGTGATCTAATTAGACTTGACAAGGAAGGGATTGGAGATACAGATGTAATGTAAATAGAATCATTGGGATTGTGTATTGCACATCAGCAGTGCTTTTTCTTCGTCCGTTTCTGAAACCTTTTCTCAAAACTACGTGTGTGCATGCCAGTTTCTTGACCCTTAATTGTAGCATATTCTGGACAGTCTCCATAATATTTGATGGAGGACTCAAATATGCTTTGTAATCTTAACTAAGCATGTTTCCTTTCTTCAGTGTGCTGTAGAAGATGTGCCAAGTCAACATTTATCAATGCTGATACTGTAGAGTACTCAAACATGTTGCTATGACTGGATGAGCTGCCATGTGCTTGCTAAACCACAATAGCTGGCCCTAATAGGATAAATGTTCAAATGTTAACTGAGGCAATTCAAACATAAGTACCACTTAGCCTGTCCCCCTTGGAAGTTATGTGTACACAGGTAGCTGGTATGGTTTGGGGGCAGTGGTTACAGACTGTGTGTCTACTTCCTGATTTGTATTTCATGTCAGGGAGAATTTGCTCTTGAGCAGTGCGCTCTGAGCCTTTTGGCTTCTGGGTCAGTGGGACGTTGGCTAAGCTCCCAGTTATTGAAGTGAAGTAGTTAATAATATATCAGGAAAGCGTTAGTTTTTGGAAAACTAACGTGATCCCTGTTAATATGGTACACAATGCTGCATTGGAATTTGAGAGCATTTATTTGTGAAAACAAACTGGGATTTATCTATTCTATTCATTTTTTGCCACAATAGCCTGACCTACCTTCTCAGAGAAAGAAAAGATGGGGGTGTTTTATATATATAAATATATATATACACCCCTTCCCCCTCCCCCCCCAACTGTCTGGAGTGGTGAATGTCCATACATATATATATATATATATATTTACATGTGTGTGTGTGCCGATAATAACCCAAATATTCCAACTATAAACTATTGTAAAATGAAAAAAGTTTAATTTCTCCTTATGTTTTATTAACTATTTAACTTAAGTAAAGAATAATAAGGCAATGGAAATGTACATTTTAAAGGTCTTTTGCATAGTGTTCTATAGGTGGTGTCTTGTTACGTGTCTGTAGTTTTCATTCTCTCTCTCGGTTTCAATTTTGGGTAGCAGCTCCAAGCTTCTAACTCACGATTAAAGAGGGAAATGAGTGGGAAGCAGATGGCATACAAAGCTGCTTTATCTGATGGCACTAAAACTGTGCAAGGTTAGGTTAAGAAGTCTTGTGTCTGTCTTACAGGATCCAACTTCCTGGGTAAATATTCACCACCTGGAGTATACGGATGGAGGAATCCTGGACCCAGATGATGTGCTGGCAGATGTTGTGGAAGACAAAGATAAGGTAGAGCTTGGATGAAAATACTACTTTTGCTTTTTGCTGTGTCTTTTCAAATAACTAATGCTACTTTCTCATTTCTTGGACATCTGGCAGGTGAAGTGTGTTAAATATTCTTAAATTAAACACATCTGCCCATAGGTGCTATAGCGCTCTGTTTCTGGAGTAGAACTGGAGAGGAAAAAAAAAAAGCATGACCAAAGCAATGAAGATAATCAGAGGAGCCTAGCAGTTGATTTAGGACTTAACCTTTTCAAGCAGTTCTGTGCTTCTTTTTATTGCTATATGAAAATGGAGTGGTGAAGGAATGTCAGTTTTGCAAGGCATCTTTTTTTATGCCACTTAAAATATCTTTTATAATCTCTTCCTTTGCTTAGAATTAAGTTTCTGAGAATCATTCAAATGTCATGGTTGAATATGTGTGACAAAATAAACAGACAAATCCTGCGATGACAAGAACAGCTGCCTCAACTGTGTTAAATTTCAGGAGGAGTTCCTGTGATTTGCTACTGAAAGTCTAAGCAGGCCGGTTATTAATTTTAAAAGCTATGAGTCTCTTTCAATTCAGATAAGATAGATGTCCTTTCTGGGTAGAGAAGTAGTAGCTGTAAGGTAGCCCGTTTTAATTCTTTGTAATTATCAGGAAAATTAGTTTTGGGAAACTAACTGGTGACTTATTTCAGCATAGAGGAGGAGGAGGTGGGGTATAATTTATACTTTGCTGTTTTTTTCTTTTTTTTCTTCGTAAAATCAGAGGAAAAAATATATCTAGTGACTTGAAACTGAAGATCCAAATATAGGATATGTCTGTAATTTCAGACAAATAGTTTTGTCTATTTATAGTGCCATATGCTTAGTGACTTCAAAAATAATTTTGTATATTGTGAACAGAAATGCTAGTTTTATATGCTGTTGATTCTTCAATGACTTAATACAAGGTGCAACATTTTGCTTATGATTAATGGGATGCTGTTTCTCAGTACCTTAGAAAATTGTCTAAGGCGTATGTCAGTGTAATTTTGTTGTGGTTTGTGTGGGAATTCTGAAGAACAATGGAGCTCTCTTTGGTATATGTTCTTTTTATCGAACTTGTATTTCTTGCTTGTCCATGTTTACTGGAAGTGTACTTAAAACACCCTAAGACTTTTTTCCAGTAGTGTTTGGAGACTAAGGACTGGGTTCTGAGGATTGACACACCTGTATATAAAGGATAAGACCATAAGCATAAGGTGTCATAAAATGAGATATCGCATCAAAGGGAAATGCATTACTGGTCTCATCAGTTACTAAAAATTAACACATCCACACAGGATTTCCTCTATTTGAAGTACTGATACAGGAACACTTATGCAAATATGAGCAGTAGTTTGCAGAATATTTGATATACCATCCAGTTTTTAACTTGTTGCCAAAGCCTTTGCAATACTTTATTGGTGGGTGTCAGTGGTTGAGTATGTGTTGCTGATGAAGTTTCTAGTTCGCACATAGCTGTAGGTTTAAGCAGCTTCTGTTATAACAGTGCTAGGTGGGACTCTGTAGTTCTGAGGATGCCTTGAGGAAAAACCACTGGAAAACGGGGATCTTGCTGAAGTGGTCTGGGGTGGTTTAGGAATACGGCAAACTCCTCAATTTCTCTTCCTGTGATGTCTCAATTACATGAGTTGCATCACTGCCATCTTCTCTTCTTCAGGCGGCCTTGGTGAAACAGTGATCAGTAAGATTTACTGAACAGCAGCAGCTGCAGTGACAAATCAGGTTTTTTGATTAAACTAGGGGAGAATCATGTAATCTTGTAAGGGGACTGCTGGTTGAGAGATCAAAGAATTCTTTCATTTGAGAGTGGAATGGGGCCACAGCATGTGTAAGGAGCTGTCCATACTATCTGCTTACAAGGTTTGGTATGATCTGATAACAAAGAACCAGCCCTATAAAAGCCTTACAAATATTTTTAATAGTTTTATTGTGGCCTATTAGCCTTTGAGCCTTCGCCAGTGCTATTCCATACTGAGAATATTGGCTAGGGGGGATCTTTAAGCTTTGTAAAAAGGGGAGGAGATATTTAGATCTAATTGACCTGATATCTACTTTGGTGTTTAAAGTCCCTAAATAGATGAAAGAATTCTTGGTACATTTATCTGTGCACTGATTCTCTTTGGTTATGATTATCTATATGTGTGATAAATGAATAGGCCACAGCTTTATTGCTCCCTTGTCCTTGTCATCCTTTCTTATGCATCCAAGCCAGTAATGTAGTCTCCCATGAAATCAATCAATTTATAAAAATAAGCATTGCACTTAACCTCAGTGCCTATAACCAAAAGTGTGTTTGGCATTGCTGACCATCAAGCTCTTCTTTAGTGGCAGAGGAAACTAGCTGATGCTTTTTTGAGGGTTAATCTGCTCTAGATCGTACTTTGATAGCAGTAAATTAGCACAGTTTCTTCAAAGGTAAATGTGCTTGCTAATCTATTGAAATTCTTTCACTGTGGAAACAAAGTAATGAACCAGAGAGAGCTATCAGATATAATATATTTGGAATTTCAAAAGCTTTTGACAGTCCTTAACAATAGACTGTTAAGGAGGCACAACTACTCATGAGGTAAGCAGGAAGTGCTGCCGTGGGTCAGTAAATGATTGAGAGGGAACAAAAAGATGGAATAAATGGTCAGTTTCCAACATTGTGAAATGATGGCACTGGGTTGCATAATGCATATTATTGGGAGTGGCAATGTTTTTGAGCTCTGCTTATGTTAACTTCATGATTTCCTCTTGAACTCAGTGTTAATCAAAATTCAGCAAATAGGCAGTACAGTGGATGACATTAATTGCTGTCAACTGCACAGTTATGCATGTTGGAGAGGGTGGCTTGTTCTGTTTGTATATAAAACAGGTTTAAATTAGTATTATATGTGCTTGGTAATGTGTCATGTGAAAATGCTTTGGAAATTCTTTATGGTGAGAGCCCCTCCTGCTGCTGCTGCCTCAGCAATAATCTGTGGCCTGAATTGGATGTCAAAGCTAGTGTTGAATAGTTTTAAAATAGTTTGTTTTCACTGAGTTATCTAGCAAGTGGTTTCTGTCCTGATTACTCTGAATGATGGATCTAATTAATTAAAAACCCTGAATTTTGTCATTTGAATTCAAAAAAAGCTATTTAAATTGTCTGCTTTTAATGTGTTGAAGCTATAAATGGAGTCCTCTTTGTATGCTCTTCTTTAAATCTCTATCACTTGAAATGGCTTTTTTCCTTGAGGAAGAAAATGCCCTAAGAAAATTTCTATGCTGTGCAAAAGATGAGTACATAATGTTTCCCATAATATCATTGTGTACATCGAGCCTGTGCTTGGCACGTGTCTTAATTGCATAGACTTAATGTACCCCTCTAGGTTTCTCTGATTTTTACATGGACTAATGTTTTCAAATGCTCACAAACACCTGGGGAGGCTAAAAAGATGTAATGAAGCCCTGTGTTAATAAGTTAAAACTTTCTTAGCTTATAGGAAAAGTTTAAACTGTTAATAACATCCTAGATCAGAACAGTTCTGCTCTCTGAATACATATAAAAGCCTACAGGGAAAATACAGTTTCTATCTAACCTGTCTAATGTATATGTTCGTATTTTGACAGGATTAAACACAAGCAAAACATGCTTACTGGTATGCTTTTATCAGCAGAGCCCTTCTGAAGAAGGGGATGATGGTCTGCTGTCAGGGTCCTGGGTGGTTTTTTTTTTTTTTTTCGGTAAGACTATGCTTGCAAGGGCAGTATTGCAGTATCTACAATTTGGCCAACAAGGCTGTTGAACACTTGTGTAAGGATACCATTTCCTGATCAGTGCTGCTGACAAAAGATCTAGGCTTGTCATCCTAGAAGGTGGTGTAGGTTTAACCTCTCCAGAGGCTTGTTTGTCAGCAGTTCCACTACTTTAGGTATACGGTGGGGGTGTTTTGTGGTTGGAATTTTTTTTGTGTGTGTGTATAGTGTTTGGGGTTTTTTTAGGAGTGGAAGGAAAAAAAAGGGTATGAGATCGTCATGGGCACTGCGCTGGTACTGAAACAGCAGGGTGCCAATATGGTCTTAGAAATAGTTTTTGCTTGGATATCGCCTATGTTAAATATAGGTGACTTGTAACAGCAGCACCTTTTGAAGGACACAAAGCAACATCAATTAAATACTGAAACAGTGACGTCTTTCAAGATTTGTAGGGACTGTAGCTGTCATTTAAGTGTTTCTAATGATGATATCAAGTAAATGGTATGAATTAAGTGTAGTTCAGATACTTATTTTAGCTGAGCATTTAATGAAATATTAAATAGCAAAATCAATGAATTCTTCCTTCTCAGTTCACTACCAGCAGAAATGCAATATTGAGAAAACATGTTTCCTGGAAGGTCTCTAAACGCTAGAGAAATAATCTGCTGGCTGTTCAAAATGGTTATTGGGCCCATGCATGCTCCTGATGAGAAGCTGAAGATCTGGCTGTTTTTGTAGGGTATGCTAAGTAGCTCTTAAACCTTACTTCAGACAGAGGTCTCTGCAGGTAGCTCTAGTTTCAGTGACGGTATAGTGAGTGTGAGGCTGGTTTGGAGATGTTTCAGCAAAACGACAAAAAGGTTTGGATTCAGAAGTGGATATAAACTTCAAGATTGATTGTAATTATACGAAGGAAATGTCTCTCCAAGTACCTGACAGGCATGTTTTCTGTCAGTGGATTCGGAACTTTTCCATTGTTTCCAGGCAGATTTAGTCACTGGGAGTGCTGGCTGGCTGGGTATAGCACTTATACAGCAGTTCTCTTCTGACCTGGGTTTGACTCTGTAGACCTTCAGGGTTGTCATTCCGGTTGTGAAAGTGATGGCACGCTCTAATGTGCAATGTGTATTTAAATTAAGTTATATTGAAGTAATTCCACCTTTGAACAGCTTCTGTTCCCTCCAACCATCGAATTCCTCATGAAATGGAGAAGGAAATCAGAACTAAAGTAACCTTTAGGTAAGTAGAGAAGG